ACGTCATATGTCTGGACATCATCCTCATTATTTTCACTCCATCCATAGACAGCATGATCATATCCTACAGGATTCTGGGGTTTGCAATTTGGCAGAAAATTCTAAAAATGGAATCCTGTAAATTCCAGGATTCCATGGGATGTCACCCATTAAGATGGAATCTTAGTCTTATAATTATGTCGTGGGAAGGGCCCCCAAAAGAACAAAAATGGGAAAGTGTCCAGTTAAATCCTTTTCATAGAATCATAGAGTTGGAAGAGATCTCATGGGCCATTCAGTCCAACCCCCTGTCAAGAAGCAGGAAAATTGCATTCAAAGCACCCCCGACAGATGGCCATCCAGCCTCTGTTTAAAAGTATCCAAAGAAGGAGCCTCCACCACAGGCCAGGGCAGAGAGTTCCATTGCTGAACAGCTCTCACAGTCAAGAAGTTTTCCTAATGTTCAGGTAGTCTCTTTTCCTGCAGTTTGAAGCCATTGTTCTGCGTCCTAGTCTCCAGGGCAGCAGAAAGGAAGCCTGCTCCACTCAAGAAAAAGATGAGACATCTCAAGATGCTGGAAGTGATCTTTATTAGCCAGGGATGGATCCTTTGGAGCCTTTTCCAAGGACCACTGAAAGAGAGGACTGCAGCAATTTCTGAACGATGGAACTCAAACCCTATTGACTGATAAAATGGAAATAGCATTAGAGTTCCTTATTCAGAAATTTCTGCCATCTTGAGTTTTAGTGTCTCCTGAAGAAGGTATCAGAATTTCCATAGGCTGAAACATACTGGGGTTTTTTTTAGCTAATAAAGAGCATATACTAGCATCTTGAGATGTTTCCTCCTTTTCTTTTGTGTATATCACTTGGCAACTTTGTCTCATGTCCTTAAAGCAGGATGAACAACTGTGAAGTCCAGGTGGTTTTGGCCTACAGCTCTCATAGACAAAGAAGGGCCAAAAACCATCTTACGGCCCATTCCTGTCATTCACAGTGCTTTCACATTTTTATGAAGTCTTGTTTTTAAAGATACTTTGGCATCTATATGGGAGAATATTGGTTATCATAGAAATTTGTTTGAGAATGTTTACAAAATGTGCAAATAAACAGAGGTCTGGGAAAAAGGTGAAGAGGGGCTGGAGAAACATAGACTTTTGGTGTCAGTTTTTTTTTCCAGGTCTGGAGCAACTTGAGAAAATGCAAGTTGCTTCTGATGTGAGAGAATTGGCCATCTGCAAGGACATTGCCCAGGGGATACCCGGATGTTTTACCATCCTGTGGGAAGCTTCTCTCATGTCCCTTCATGAGAAGCTGGAGCTGACAGATGGGAGCTCACCTTGCTCCCCAGATTTGAACCACTGACCTTTTGGTCAGCAGTCCTGCTGGCACAAGGATTTAACCCATTGTGCCACCGCTGTCAGGTTACAACAGCATATCTGCAGTAAAAACAAATGTATTAAAGTTCGATCTGGACAAGAATGGGCTTCTGCTGGAGCCAATTCTACTGTATCTATGTCTGCTTGTCTGAAACAGGAAAAATAAACTAGCTCTCTTTTTAAAGTATCCCTGTGTCTCTTCTCTCTTCTTCAGTTGGGAATGCAAGGATTCAGTGTCTGTGTGGCAATGAATCCATTACAGATTTCAGTTTTAACAGTCAAGGGACTATACAAGTAGCTAATTCCTGTCCCCAAAATAACTTCAGTAACCTTGGATAGTTCCTGAAAAGTTAAGAGCCACTGATATCAGAGCCACAAGCCTACAATGCTCTTTTGAATGTATCAACTAAACTTTTGCAATTTAACTGATAAAAGCAAATTCAAAGAGGTCTAAAATATTATTGCATATATATATATATAATGAATTCCACCAAGCTGCCTGTAGTCAGAGAAATGCAATAAAATATTGATAAGGCTGATAATGGGGTGCAGATGGGGCCCTTGCACACATGTCCAGACACATGAGATGGAAGGCTTGTGCAGCACCTGTGTCTTCAATGCCTCTGTACATCAATACCAATGGGGAACACTTTAGCTGAAATCCTGTTACTAGTCTCAGTAAAAATAGATCTGTTGAATCAATTGAAGCTTAAGAAATCAACATTAATGTCAGTTTCCTTTGAATCAGTTGACTGCAGATAAAGCACGTTGCAGTCCAATATGGATAAAGAACTACGGTTTGATGGTGGCTGTCATTAATCATTCTGCTCAGTTTTGGAAAAGTTGAATTGGTTTAAGTATAAGGAAAAACCAGCAGGTGGTGCTAAGTTTTTGAATTATGCAAAATGTAATGGAATGATATGTCACTTTTTTCCTGCAATCTGATTTCTGCTAATGATTAATTATTGTTTATTTTTATTTTCACCTTTACAGACAATAGTACTAGCTAACAACAGATAGGAAATATTGTGTTTGTATGTTTGTAAATGTAAGCATGTATATAGACAGCTCTCCAACTTTGCTTGGATTAGAGGCACATAATCCCCTTGTAAGTGAAAAACGTCTGGTAGAAGTTGACCATAGAGTCAAACTGAAAGAATTAGAGATTTTGGGTAGAAGTTGATTACAGAGTCATGCTGAAACACCCAGAAATTCCTGGAGAGGTGCTTTTTGGCTTCTGCTAGAAGTTGACAATAGAATGATGTTGGATGACCTAGAGAGTCATAGAGAGAACATTTTAATCGAATCAATGACTAATCAAATGCACAAAATTCAAGCCCACACAAGTTGAGAGGTAACCACACACAGACTAGCATAGACTTGCACAAAACAGTCTCTTTATGTCTACTTTAAAGCCTATGAATGCCAGTTCATACCTGTCTGAATCTCAGAGACATGCATTTGCCTTTTGATACATTGTGGTCTGTTATATTCTTGATATACTCTGTTTTGATATATTGATATTCTTGACTGGCTCCATGCCAAATCTGCCTAGCACTTCCCTCACAGTGATATTTCCCCCTCTGGACAAGGTCTCATACCCTGCACAATGACTATACACCACTGGGGAAGTCAGTGGCTTCTATGGAATTTTCACTGTGAATCCACTGTGAGTTTTATTCTAGATTTTTAAAGAGCTGCTATTCACAGCACTGTTTCCATGTTGAAGAGCAGTATTCAGCACCTTGGAGAGCTCCATTCAAGCCCAATATAAAATTTATTGCCTCACCACCATGTAAAATACCCGAGAGTAAGGATTTTCCAAATTACTGATGATCCCAAAGTAATGCTGAAAGTGCACGTAATAACTAACTTGGAGTTGGTTATGTAGAACCTGCAGGTGTAAAAACAACATGCTATATATGAAATACTAACATTTGGGGGCAGGGGGAAGCCATTGTTTATTGCTGACTTTATCAGAAGATACTGCTTTACCCTCTGAGAAAAGAAATCGCCGAACTAGCCTGAGATGATTCAGAAGACTTCTTATCGCAAGAGGGAGGATTTGCTATTCTCTCACTGCATTCCTAACTGAGGCTAATTCCCTTATATACAACGTGCAGCCAAAATAACAACACATTTTATTCTGGGTTAGTTGTTCTGTTATTTTCTGCCTTCTAACGGACTCTGATTTACAGTGAACTAAAGTTGTCTACAAATATTACTGCAAGCCAATATCTATCTTAAACTTTGGTGACTGGATGTTGTATTTTGGACTTCAGTTCTCATTACCCCCAACCACTCTTGGCTGCAATGGTGGAAGATGCAATTCAGAAAATCTGGAAGGCATCAGATTGGGGACAGATGTTCTAGATAATGATCCAAGTACATAAAAGGTGCATTTTGCGAATAGGTCATTTAGTATTCTTCAAATGTTATGGGCTACTACAACCAAAGTCAACCCAGGCAATTGGATGTGGGCTGATAGGAATTGTGAAGCACAAAGTTATATACCTCTAGGTGTCATACACAGTACACACTTAATGGTTACATAAGAAGAATGTCTATATCTGATTATTTCACAGGTAGCTGTCCATTTTTGGATGATGTATGCCTTCAGTTCTTGGGACTGCAGAAACACACACTGAGCATTCCTGTTGCTCAATAAGTAAACACACTGACAGCTATACAATCATTTCCCAGTGCCAATATTCAAGAGGAAGATGGTGTAATGCAGCTACCCAGAGTGTAGATTTACACCATATAAACACAATGTAAGATCTCAGCCTTGCTGTAAGTAAACCAGATTTTTGTGATCTTTCAAGAATTTTCTGTAGGCTTCTACTTTAAATGCTCCAGATTGCAGCCCTGTGTACTCTAATTACTTTAATCAGCAGCAGCAGCAGCAATAATAATAATAATAATAATAATAATAACTTTATTTATACCCCACCTATCTCCCCTAGGGGACTCAGAGCGGATAATAATGATGATGATGATGTATTATTACTCATCTCTACATGCAAGTCGCAGGTCACTTCTGGCATGGGAGAATTGGCTGTCTGCAAGGATGTTGGCCAGGGGACGCCTAGATGTTTTGATGTTTCACCATCCTTGTGGGAGGTTTCTCTCATATCCCTGCATGGGGAGCTGGAGCTGACAGAGGGAGCTCAACCCACTCTCCCTGGATTTGAACTGCTAACTTGTCAGTCAGCAATCCTGCCAGCACAAGAGTTTAACCCATTGTGCCACAGGGGACTTCTCAAGTCGCTCCTGACACAGGGGAAAAAACTCTACATGCAGTTCAAGGTGGGTTCAAAATAGTTAAAACATTGAGACAAAACAAAGCACTATTAAACACGCAGGTAAAATACAGCTCAAAGGTAAAATGCAGGTTAAAATTCACAAGTTAAAATTGACTGGGTAGGTCTGCCAGAAGAGATGGGTCTTATATCTGAGAGCCAGAACAGTGTCATAGTTTGAAAATTGGACTACAACTCTGGAGACTAAGATCTGAATCCCTTATCTGTCACTGAGTGACCTTGGGCAAGTTACACACTCTCAGCCCCAGAAAGTCTTTGAGTCATCATAAGTCTGAAATGGTTTGAAGGCACACAACAACAACAGCAGCAGCAGCAGCAAACATGCATTGGGTTCTTCTGCTGCAGCTTAGGGAAGAAGTCAACATTTTGAACTACTGCTTCCAGAACCTCCTATCCAACAGCATGGAGAGATGCCTTTTTTGGACTTTTGCTGCCACAAACTTTGCTGACTGAGGTCGTGATGGGAGCAATAGTCCAAAAAATAACCCTTTCCCTGTCTCTCTGCCTATGTCCAGATCAGGAGACTGCTCCCTCTCCACTTTACGCACCTCCTTTCTCCCCCTCCCTTCACTTCCTGCATGCTGTTAACCTGGCATTTTCCACGCAAAAAGCACCGTGGCTAGTTCTCCGGGTTAATCTCCCATCGAGAGGCGCTTTCCCCCCGAACTCATTGGCGGGCAAAGAACTGCTGAATAACTCTTCCCTTGAAAACGGAAGAGCGACAAAGAGTTGGAGGGTTCCAAACTTTGGTGTCCACAATAATTTCGCCTTCCTTTGAAGCACCGAGGAAGCGGCAATCCCAGGAAGGAAAGGCTGAATTGAGGCAAAGGGACTGTGTCCTGTTTTCCAAGGTGGGGATGATGGGTTTGCTGGAGGCATGCGGCTGAAGGCGGGATGGAGTCCATTTCCTGAAGCAGGGAGCAGAAGCAGGAGAAGGAGGAAGAGAAGGAGAAGGCAGCGATGGGGCAGCGGTTGGGCACCAAGGCGCTGCTCCTCCTCACTTTGGGTAAGTCCTGGCCAAGTGCCCAGTCCAAGAGGTACCTTTCTCCGGAGTGAATTCAGAATTCTAAAGGGTTCATGTTCAGAACGGGGAAAAGTTCCTTATGTTGTTTGGATTACAGTTCCCAGAATCCCCCAGCTTGCTATCTGGGGGATTCTGAGAACTGTAATCCAAACAACAGACGGAACTTCCCCAAAGTATTGTAGAAGGCTTTCATGGCCGGAATCACTGGGTTGTTGTAGGTTTTTTTTTTTTTGGGGGGGGGGGGGGGGCTATATGGCCATGTTCTAGAGGCATTCTCTCCTGGCGTTTCGCCTGCATCTTTGGCAAGCATCCTCAGATTGTGAGGACCTCACAGCCTCTGAGGATGCTGCATGGATGCAGACAAAACGTCAGGAGATAATGCCTCTAGAACATGGCCATATAGCCCCCAAAAACCCTTCAACAACCCAACTTCCCCAAACTTTCAAGTGTTGATACAGTAATCCAAAATGGTCCGCGTGGCTGGCTGAGATAGTGACATCTTTGCTTTCTGATAGCTCCAGTGTACACAAACTCTGTTTAATGCAAAAAATTGGGTTGCTGTAAGTTTTCCAGGCTTTATGGCCATGTTCCAGAAGCATTCTCTCCTGATGTTTTGCCTGTATCTATGGCAGGCATCGTCCGAGGTTGTGAAGATAGATGCAGGTGAAACCTCAGGAGAAAATGCTTCTGGAACATCACCATACAGCCCAGAAAACTCACAGCAACCCGGTGATTCCAGCCATGAAAGCCTTCGGCAATACAATGCACAAAGTTATTTTAAAAATAGTACAGTATATCAAATTAATCTATGTATGGGCCCTCTGGTGGAGCAGCAGGTTAAACTGCTGAGCTGCTGAACTTGCTGACCAAAAGGTTGGCACTTCAAATTTGGGGAGCGGGGTGAACTTCCACTGTTAGCCCCAGCTTCTGCCAACCTAGCAGTTCGACAACATGCAAATATGAGTAGATAASTAGGTAGCACTTCTGCAGGAAGGTAATGGCATGCCATGCAGTCATGCTGGKCACATGACCTTGGRGGTGTCTACAGACAACACCAGCTCCTTGACTTAGAAATGGAGATGAGCATCACSCCTAGAGTCAGACACAACTAGACTTAATGCAAGAAGAAACCTTTACCTTTACATTACATGTATAAAATGTATATYWA